GGGTTATTCATGTATGGCTTTTATTTTGTTGAGCTAGTTTTCCTCTATTCCTAGTTTGTTAAGTGCTTTTATCATGAAAGGGTATTGAATTTTGTCAAATGCTCTTTCTGCATCAATTTAGATGATCACGTGTTTTTTTTTTCATTTGTTAAGGTAGTGTATCACGTTGATTGATTTTAGTATGTTGAACCATCCTTGCATTCCAGGGATAAATCCCACTTGGTCATGGTGTATAATCCTTTTACTGTGTTGTTGAATTTGGTTTGCTAGTGTTGATTTTTTGAAAAGTAGAATAGTAAAGTTTTCAGTGAGTTTTGAACCCCAAAAACTTATGTGGAAAATGGGGGAGTACCTCATGCAGCCCAGATCTGAGTCTCTGTAGCTGTACAGAAATAGAGCTGTATGTTTATTTGAGTTGTGCTGAAATCTCTTCTGTCTAGAGTATTGGCATCAGTCTCTTTATTGCTGAATTTTTTCCCTTTCCCTCCCACCCCGCTCAAGGGGATAGAGCTTTCTGAAGTGTGTGTTCCGTATCTTTGTGGCCCTTGCACATGGTTGCTCAGAAGAAAATAAAATGTTTGCTGACATGCATATTCTTATCATATTGTTTCAAAAGTAATACTTAACATTCGTGAACTTTTGTTATTTGCCAGGCAGTCTCTGCTCTAAGTGAGGCAGCTGTTATCATTATCTTCCTCTTACAGATGAGGAAACTAAGGGACAAAGACCTTAAATGACTTACTCAGGATCTTACAGCTAGTAAGTAGCAGAGCTGGAATTTTGTTTTGTTTTGTTTTGTTTTAAGAAGGAGTCTCACTGTTGCCTAAGCTGGAGTGCAGTGGTGTGATCATAGCTCACTGCAGCCTCAAACTCCTGGGCTCAAGTGATCCTCCAACCTCAGCCTCCCAAGCCTCTGGGATTACAGAGGTGAGCTACAACACCTGGCTCCAGAGCTGGAATTGGAACCCAGGTAATGAAGTTCAGAGCCCGTTTTCATAACCACCATGAAATACTGTTTCTCAGCTCTAATTGCTAGTCTCATGAGAATCATAGATGGCTAGAGGAAAAGTGATCCCCACTCCAAACTTCTTTTTGTGCCCATTAACTTGGGAATGTTTCCAGACATCCCAGATTTTCAGATTTACCAAGGTACAAGTTAGTTTTTCTAGCTCATAGTATGTATTATTGTGTATCAGCTTTTCCACTCTTTAGGTGTCACTCCAGAAGGGAACTTACTGGTTCTTGTTTCCTTTATCAGTAGGGTTAGAAATCAGTACTTCCAAGATCCATTCCAGCTCTGGAGTAGCTATAAGTTCTTTGACTTCTGTTTATTCACATTCAGTTTTTCTTGTTTTAACCTAGCATTCTCTCCTGTTGTTTGAATCTTGATTCTGCACTGATGTCATAATAGCTGTCCCTCCAGCATTGTGCCACTTGCACACTTCTTAAAGGTCTAAGTTGTTGATTAAAACACTGAATAAAACAAAACCACTCCTAAGTTTTCAGGGTACTGATTTTTAGTCTGTATCAGATACACTTAACCAAGATTTTGTAGTCTTATCCACAAAGATAAAATAAATGACTGTTAATACCGTACTGAAATTGAACTACTTTGTCTGTGGTGTTCCTTATTTATTGACTTAACCCTAAGCATTGCTTAATTTTTACATATCTGGACCATATACTTCTATGCTGTTTGTGTTCATTTGTTGTTAATACAAGTTAACATTCATATGGCAGCTATGGAATTAATGCTATTATTAATATATCATTTCATCAATAAAAGGTGAATGTACCAACATACAAACTTCAGTGTTTTTTACTTTTATTTATTTATTTATTTGAATGCACTAGTGGATCCTGGATTAATCCTTTGAGGGAGGAATCTTACCTTAAAAT